TAGACTTCAGGTCCAGATGCTCACAGCCTGGCCCTGCGTCGGCCCTGTGGAGCTCTGCTGCGGCTGCGACTTCCCCGCATCCTCACAAATAACAAAAGTTAAGAGGCAAAAGAACAGCACTGCAACCCGGATGCTCACCGTCCCTGCCTTCGGGCCCGGCGGCGTCTGCTGCGGCTCCTCACCAAGGACAAACATGGAGGCAAGAGACTGCACCACAGCCCGGACGCCCACTGAGTCCTGCGACTCCTGCGGCTGCCCACCAGCCAACGACGTCGGGCCCTAGTCCTCCTGAGACTGTCAATGTTGGACTGCTGCAGCATAGTTGAGAGAAACCCACTTGCGGAAACAGTCCTGGATCGGCTCGCGTGGCTCGGACTCAGGCTTCGCGGACTGGGTTGTGGGCTCCTCGGTCGGCTCCACGGCTGGCTGCTCCTTAGCTGCAACTAGCGGCCAGCGCAATACACTCCATGAGCTTTGAAACTGTGGCTTTACTTTATTATACTCGAAAGACTTGAATGAATGGCAAGACCAAGGGTCGGATCGGGCCGGTGCTTTGGGCGTGGCATCCTCTTCTGCTTTGGGCGCCTGCAAGAAGTACGGCGCAACTTGAAAAGCATAAGATAAGTTGACGATTACAGCCAAACATCAGATAAGGACAGGGCACTGTGTTCGGCCCAGGAGTATCAGCCACAACCTCTTCAGGTGGGCCACTGCCAGTCGGGCCACCATCACTCGGGCCACCATACCCTGCAGGAGGCTCGGGCCCAGGCGGCTCAGGATTCGGAGGCGCTGGGACCCCAGGCGGCGGCGCCTTGCTGATCTTGTTCTTCTTTGCCCCCGCGTCAGACTTGTTCGGCCGGCTCAGGCTGGTTCGGCCCCGGCTCAGGCTGGTTCGGGGCTCAGGCTGCAGCACCCTGGGCATGGGCTCTTGCCCTCATAATTTATGTCAACGTCTGTCCCACTGCCTGGAGGTGTATGGGACTTTGCTGGAGCTGCCGATGGTTTGGCCACGCTGGCTGGAGGGACTTGGCAGGTTCGGCCCCGCTGCCTGGAGCTGGCTGGGACTTTGCACGGCGCTGTTGAAGTCGGGCCACTCGAACCAACTGCGGTTGTCGTATCGGTCCGACTCGGTCCTCAGATAATTCAGCGGCACACAGACAAGAAGCCAAGGATCTCGTGTTAGTGGCTAACAGATCTAAGTGCAGCCCGGAATCTGGCAGCGCTGGATCTTCTCCTTGTAGTGGGCCCACAGCTTGCGTCTCTGTCGGGCCGTTTCCTCCTCGAGTGAGACGTCAAGCGCCAAACCTTACTGCACGGGCTGCGGCTGCACGAATGGAATGAATTTTGATAATTGTTATGAAGCAAAGCATGCTGACAAGAAGTGCTACCAAGGCGCCACTCTCGGGCACTGCGTGCAGGAGTTTGACTACAATCTCGTGCGTGTAGTCCTCGCCGCGGCGGTTGGTGGTCGCCAGCCCATACAAGTCCTGAGCTCCGATGGCAATCATGCGCACATGACACAAACCTACCATCAACTCATGTGAGGACGTACAGTAAGTTCAACCTCCAACTGGCACGATGCAATCCGAGATTCGCCCCAGAGGTCTCGCGATGTGAAGTCATCGTCGTCGATCGCCATGAGGGTCCAAGCAACATCGGGCAACAGTCGCCAGAAGTCGGACCTGGGGACGTTGTCCTTGGCGAGTTGCAGCCAGT